TAACAGTAGGGACAGACGCACTATCAGTCCATCTAGTAGTAGGTAAGTAGTAGATGTACACGACCTTCATGTATGGTCTCTAACAGTAGGAACAGACGCAATATCAGTACATCTAGTAGTAGGTAAGTAGATCCCCAACAGGGGAGGGGAGAGTATTATTAAACCATGGTAAAAAGTAATAATTCTAGGACGACGAGGTTTCTACGGAAAACAGGTTGACAGATTGCTTCCGAAGACTAAATTTTCTGAGCTCCTGTCTGGCATGATTTTCTCAAGAACCCTTAGAGAAGTTATACTCCCCCGCTTTTTAGGTATTCATTTCATTTCAAAGCTCCCTTAATGCTACTCCATTTTTTGGGGCTCCTCAATATCTTCATGCTCCCCCCACCCTCTAATAAATGTCCTTATGCACAAAAGGTTTATAATGACGCTACATCTTTGTGTTTAATAATCAGATGATCCTTCCCATTCTCAACGCGTCCTCGAGGAAGCATCCACGATATGTAGCAAAGAATTCGACATACAACACAGTACAATACAGATAGAAACACACTCTGAAGAAAGAGAGAGCTGTAAAGTCTGCGACGATCCACAAGATTGAAAGAAACAAAATAACTTTATATAGATATTTTTTTTTTTTTTCTCTCTCGTTCACATTGGATGATTTCTACTTTTGTGGCGTCGCAAGTGGCTTTTTTTTAAACTTTCAGCGTGACAAACCGTTCGTTCGACGCAAAGTGTACCTTGTGGTTCTTTTTTTTATGCACGGAATCAGATAACTAATGTGTGTGACGCTGAAATTATTTGCTGTCGCTTTTTTTTCACACGAAGGTGCATGACAAGCACGGAAAGAAGTGCCGCGCAGCGAGTTGCAATTTTTTTTGGTAATTTGGACTGCTGGATAGCCCTAGATATGATAAATATAAACAAAGTGGTTTTTTTTTATCCGTCAACTAACAACGTATTCTAAAGCATGAAAAACGGCGCATAAGAATAAGAATTATACACTTAACTCTCACTGTCAGGAAAAAAAAATAGAAAAAGTTTGTGGTGAAAATTTTTTTTTATAACTACCAAACACATATGCATGGACGCTGGATTGGTGAAGCCTCGTGAACTTTTTTTTTTAATTTTCTTGCAGCTTTGTCAAAGAGGATTATGAGGGGTGGTTTATATAAACTTTTTTTTACATGCCCTTGCAAAATGCCAAAAAAGCATGAGTTTGATAGCCTGATAGATATTTTTTTTTGCGGTACGGTTGCATGTCAATTTGGTCAAGAGATGTCTGCAAAAAAGCGATATTTTTTTTTATGCTTAGGGTACCCATGATACCTTGCGCCACTAGTAGGACTTTCTCAATGCTTTTGGCTTTTTATGGGTGACAATATTTCCTGAAAACTTAATAAGTGCCGTGATTGTGTAAATTTTTTTTTGAAATGGATTCAAACTATCATTGATCAATAAAAAAATGAATAAAAAAATTGGTTTTTTTTTAGAGAATTATAATTCCGACAGACCTAACTCGTTCCCAGTCTTTCGCAAAGAATTTTTTTTTTTAAGAAGGGAGAACTTCCCTTTGCTCTCCCTTGTGGACGACTGTCAGTCCTTTTTTTTTCTGGGTTCACATATTTTTGAAAACACTCAAATTTTTATTTAACTGATTTATACTTTTTTTTAACTATTTGTTTTATTTGACAATCTGAGCTCATATTATTAAAGTTTTAGCTATGCGTTTTCCCGCCAAAAACGTGCGTTGACTAAATAATTGGGWCAGCGGATATCCATATGAGTTTTTTTTCGGTCAGTCCCCGGTAAATTAGAATCTCGAAGTTGAGTTGAAGAAGCGAAGTTTTAAAATGAGAAATTCGAGTCTTTTTAAACAAATGCAGTTTATTTTATTACATTTTTGAGCTTTTTTTTTATTGTTCTATCGACCTGATGCACAAATATACTGGAAAGACGTACAGCAAAGCCCGAAAACGTGAGACAAAAAGTGCAGCCATTTTCGACGATGTACAAGTTGCAGAAACTAGTTTTTTTTTCACCGACAGGGCTCCAGACACTTCTAAAACTCCGTTTGGCAGTTCTCTGCCCAAAAAATCATCTTGGTCTCGCGTACACAAGGCAGTAGTCCACACTCAAGAAAATTCACCAACGAAAAACAAAACAAAAGGCTTAAAAAGACGGCTTGATACCATCGATGAAGATGACCCTTTTTTTTTTTTCGAAGACGAGAGCACRTCGTTGCCTAGTTCGCAAACATCATCTCAGAAATCAGTAGACCCTAGTGATAAAAGCACCGATGATGAAGCTTACAGTAGCTCACAGGAGTCAATTAGTTTTTTTTCAGCGAGGTTAAGTCAAAGTWCAAAGCGTGCCAAACGATCAGCTCAGAGCGTATTTTTTTTTGTTGTTGGATTTGTGTAGTCTTAATTGGGGGTTATTAACTTGGAGTTGTTTTTTTTTTTGAAATTATAAAAGTCAATGAATTATGTGTTGATGGGGTATTTATTTACAACATTTTTTTTTGTATGTCATTATAAGCTGATCATTTGTGTTTGTCTTGTTTGTCTCAATATTTCTTTTTTTTTGCCAGCTTCGTGTATTCATGTCATGGAACAGTTTTCATTACTCTGTGAAATATTTTTTTTCGTACTACAATTAATGTGTATTTTACATGTTTTCCTTTGTATTGTTGGTGAATTTTTTTTTTTGTAAACTTTTAATGTTTTGATTCTATATAATTATGTGATAATATAATTATGTTTTTTTTCTCCGAGTTTCGTTTTGATTCTACATGTATTTTTCTTTGCACAGTCACCATTCTTTTTTTTCCTGAAAAATAATGACAAGTCTCTCTCTCCCGTCAAAAATAAAAACCATCGACTTTTTTTTGCTTTGGTAAGATTGTTATTGTCATGTTATTGATAATATTTTGATATTGATAATTTT